GAAGGAAAGAAAGAAAGAAAGAAAGAAAGAAAGAAAGAAAGAAAGAAAGAAAGAAAGAAAGAAAGAAAGAAAGAAAGAAAGAAAGAAAAGGAGAGAAAAGCAACCAGACCCCCGGTGGCCAGCGCCCACCGCCAGGAGAAGCGCCCCCTGCGCACCCAGTGCTGCAGGCGGGGCCCAGCCCAGGCCCAGCCCAAGCCAGAGCCGGAGCCAGCGCCTGCAGACCCCAGGAACCCGGCTCCTGGCGGCCGGAATGCGGCCCTCCGCCCACAGGGCGAGTGGAGTGGTGCTGGGGAACCAGAACCCGACACAGCAACACAGCTGGCTGTGACTCCAGCCGGGGTCTTAAGTCAACCAGTGTGAGGTGGTTTCCTAAATCAAAGTAAGGCAACCTGGCAGCTACACAGCACACTGTGCATCCGTAATCGCTGTATTGTAAACTTTTCTTTCTTTCATTGTAAACTTTCTTTCTTTCTTTCCCTTTCTTTCCTTTCTTTTTCTTTCTTTCTTTCTTTCTCTCTCTTTCTTCTTTCTTTTCCTTCCTTCCTTCCTTTCTTTCCTCTCTCTCAACTTTATTACGAAAAAAAAAGATACAAGATTTTTGTGTACAATAGCAATAGTTTAATTCAATTTTTTAAAATATCCCATTTCTATAACACTGACCATATGTATTTTGAATTATGTGGTCCTCAGTTTTTTATCTAAAAAAAAAAAATCCTTATTTTAATTCTTTTTACAGAGCAGCAAAAATTGTTCCCCAAATCTGTATAGGAGATTTAGAAAGGTTTTATTTCCAAGTAATTTTAGGAGTTCTTTCTTATAGTCAAGTTTTAGAGAACATAATTAAATCATTTTCTCATTTATCTTCTAAAAAAGAAATATATTCCTGAGTTAAAATAAGTAGATAGATGTGGGAAAGAAAATGCTTTTTCAAAAGAAATGTCCTAAAAAAATTAATCTTCTCGACTAAAGATTTAAGGGAGTTAGCATAAGTTTGATGTGAAATTCTTAGTGTCTGCACATCTTGGCATTTCTTATGGAGCAAAGTGAAATACCATCACAAAGGAGAGGGACCTCAAAGTGAATTAATAATATGACATACAGAATTGGTATTTAAAAATAATTAGTTTTACTTGAAATCATTTATCTTCTTTATTAGCAACTTATTTTTGCTTTAATGAAATTCACAAGTAAAACTTCACTCATGTGATACAATCTGAAAATTTATGATTGTTTTAGAAATTTTAGACTTTCAGGCAGCTATAAACAAATGGGAATTTTGTATTATCTTTGTGCCCTCCCAGGAAACACAAATTCCAACAAGATTTATTATAAAAGACCAACAGTTGGACTGGGAATGTACCTCAATGGTAGAGTATTTGCCTGTAATGCCAAGGCCCTGGGCTCAATCCCCAGCACCGCCAAAACAAAACTCAAATAATAGCACATGGCATCTGATTTTATATTTAAGTAGAACAATTACAGGTGATAATGAAGCAAAATTAAACTTCAATCAACACACTGTATGGATAACAGCTTATTCATGCCAGACTGCTTTCTCATCCCCACACTACTGAATGTCAGTGTCATCCACTCCCAGGGCCCCAGGAGAAGGGGAGTGGAACACATGGACTGGTCCTAGGCGGTCAGAGCCATTTAACCTGGGAAATTCATCCCGGATTGTCCACCTGGTGTCCAGATCCCCTCCCCACGGAAGGGAGAAGGGAGGTGAGCAGGCCCAGACCCAGGCAGAGGCACGGCAGGAGAGGACAGGAGGGGAGGCAGAGGGTGGAAGAGCAGGAGGAGGGGAGAGGGGACAAGGAGAAGAGAGAGAGAGAAGTGCACACCAAGGAAAGCATCACCTGCACCTGATACCCAAGGGCGTCCGTACCAGGCTCGGGCTTTAGTCAGAAAAGACGCTGGAGAGACGAGACTTAGACTAGACTTTCCCTAACACAGCAGCGACCTCCTCCTTTCCAGGACTCCTAGGTAAAAGCTCAGCCTTACCTGGCGTGGCTGACACGACTGGCCACTCTGAGACACTCAGGTGTGTAATATTTTTATCAACCACCCTGAAACATGCGTATGTCTCCTATCAACTCAGTCCCATGGTTACACAGTTTCCAGCAAGGCTGTTTGGCCAATTTCGGAGCATTAGAATACATGCTGAATTCTCAGAAATGAAACAACTTTTACTTGGCCTGAAGGCAGTAGAGACTCCAACTCAAATGGCACTGTAATTCCGGCACCAAGAAGGAAGGGTCCAGAAGAAACAGAGGAGGCAGCAGGGAGGAAGAATCGTCAGCACTTTTCCAGCTTGTTTTGACTTATATATCATTTTGTTTTCCTCCATTATACACTAAATAATTGAGAGGCGACTAAATGATTTTCTGGCATTATATATTTAAAACATGGAGTTGATAGTCTTTTCCTTCTACAGTGATCACTGAGGGAAATATCTGGCAAAAGTATTTCGATTCAGTATTATTTTATTTATAGCCATGGGCATGTTCTTCATTTTAGTAAGTTAAAATGCTCACAATAAAAATTTAAAGGAGTGATGCCATCTTACATAGATCAGACACTACAAAATTTCAATTCTGTTCTTTTAGAATAAATTATATTCAGGGGATGTTCAGACTACATTAATAAGCACAACGAGTACAATATTCATTAGTCTAAGTCAAATCTCTAAAACATTTTATCTTTCAAAGATAACACTTTTGGAGGACAGTGCATAAATTATAAACAATCGCAAAAATACTTCAAGCCTAGCCCTCACTAAACTTCACTGCATTCGGGGCTCAGACAGCACTTGGGAGCACGCACAAGACCCAGGGTCAGCCTCCCACACTGATAGGTGTAAACATGCCTTTCCTATTCGGTCATCTATTTCCTCTGTCTCTTACTAAAGGATTTTAAATAGTGAATACTGACACAGTAGCACTACTGACACCCCATCTCTCTGGTATTTTTATTAGCAATTATTTTCTGAGCGAGTCTTTCTACTGATTCATACTGAGTAACATCCATGTCTAAAATCGATTTTTGTATCTATTTAAATAAAAACACTGCAGAGCTGCACCACATCATCTTTACTCATTTACTTATAATTTCTTTTTATAATGTGCATTTGACTTCCATATTTTTGACGAACAGATTGATAGAAAACTTAAAATACCCTAAAAGAATGCTTTTTAAAAAAGAGAACACCATAGTTCTGTTGACTTCGAAACCTCGGATGAGCGTTTACTTTTAATTTCCTGAGGCGCTGTAAGATGAAAAGTAGCTGTTCTACATACAGTCTTATTTGCAAATGTAAAAGGTGACTGACCACCAAGGCAGACAGGAACGTCTGGTCTGCGTCTGCTTCGGCGCACAGCCACAGGCCCGCGCTCTCCTCGGAGCCCCACCCCCCCAGCCCCGCCCCGTCGGTGTCCACGCCTCCTACCTGGCAGTCATCCACCTTCGTCCTCATCACACCTTTCATGTACTCCTTGTCCATGGTGGGAGAGACGCCGAAACTGTTCCCCATGCAAAGAATCTCCGCCTTTCCGTCTGGGTATGTCACTTCCACGGACCCGTTGAGGATCACAGACCAGGAGTCCAGCTAGCCGGGAGGAACGGGACACAGCAGAAACAGCATGGTGGGCCTACAGCACTGAGCGCAGCACTGCAGAACAAAAAGCCTAAAAGCTCTAGCTCTACCACTGTGTCATGTGGAGCGCTATACACATACGATGGAAAAGAAAAGAAAGAACCTGGAATACTGTGATAGAATTAGCATCTCACAGTTCTTCACCTCTCCAAACTTATCGCTGCAGTTTTGGAAGGGGAAAGAGCGAACTGAGGCCCTGTCCGACTGGCACGGAGGCCCTCAGCGGGGACACCGACTGACCTCTTCGCCGCCGTTCAGCACGGTGGTGCCCGCTCTCTCCACCACGGCGAACACCATCACAGCACAGAGCTCCCGCCGCACCGACATCGTCATGTTCGCAAAGGCAGGCAGCTGGTGCATGAACTCCAGGAGCTGTTCTGAAAAGCAGCATACAACTCCGCGTCAAAACTGCAAGCTGGCTTCAGAAAGGATGCTTTAAGCTGGTTGCTGCAGTGCACTCCTGCAATCCCAACCACCTGGGAGGCTGAGGCAGTAGGGTTCCAAGTTTGAGGCCAACCTGGGCCACTTAGCAAGGCCTTCTACCAACATCAAAGGGGCTGGGGGCTGGGGGCCGGGGATTTAGTTCAGTGGTGCTGCTGCCTTCCTTGCAAACAAAAGGTCCCTAGTTTGATCCCCGGTATCAAAAGTTTAAAAAATAAAAAAATAAATAAAAGGGGCTGGGAATGTAGCACAATATTCTCTGGGTCAATTCCAAGGACTGAAAAATAACAACAACAACAACAACAAAGGCTTTCAATGCTTGAAGGTCCTTTCTCTGTCAATGCTGTATAATTTTGCCTACTGACTTAGTATGAGTTGAACTGGGGGCAGGTTTACAAAGACCAGTCACCGTGGACATGGTGACATTTCCTTGTTGACTCAGAGGCAACAGGTGATACTGTAACCCGAATTTCTAAGGCACTAAAGAAATTACTAAACTTCAAATGGGGGATTCCAATTAGAAATGAGCTGTGAGCTTGTTTACACATATTAAGAGCTGGCTGAAATGAAACGAAGCTCTGAGAATTTTCCAGTAAGTCAGTAGGTCCATTCTAGTGCTTTTTGGGTAGGCAGATAACTAAAATATTTAGCAGAAATAACTGCCTTTAATTCAAAAATATCCCAAGGAAGATTTTCTATGGATCAGAAAAATTTATAAAAAGGAGATGTAAAAATTTACAACATGCTATGATAAACACAAGTGAGAACTGATACAGCATTGCTTGTCCTGCAGAAAGAGAAGTCTGCTGCTCTTCCTGCGGTGACGTCACGGAAAGCGGTGTACACGTCCACACCGTTCAGGGGCTCATGGGGAAGACTTCCGGCTCTCGAGTCTCGTGCTCCCCTACTGTTAAGGCTCCTTACCAAGTGCCTGCTGGGTGCTCCCCTTACTCTTCCCCATGGCTCCCCAGAGGACGTGCTTTCCATTTCAGGGAGGAAGCTGAAGGTCAGGCACACACGTGACAGGACTCCCACCTGCCTGCCTGCCTCCGTCGTTCGTGCTGGACTCCATGGGCCATGGTCCAGGCACAGGGCGGACGCCAGGCCTTCTAGTATCTGCTGGCTGTACTACCTTGGGCAAGTTGATTAATTTCCCCAAGGCATAGTTTTCTCATTTGCAAAATAATATCTTATCTACCTTCATTGGTAGTTGTGAGAATCAAGTGCAATTATAATAAATATCGGAGTAAATGCTCAATAAATGAGGACTGCTGGCATTACTACAGACACATCATTCACACTCTCGGCTCAACAAAAATTCTGCATTGTTCTTGTCACCTACATAATCAAATTGTCCCTGTGTACGGTCCTCATGTGAAAACTGAAGGATACATTTGATGTTACTGAACATATCCAGTAACTGCTAAAGCCAAGTACAACAGAAGGATGCATTCTGCAAAGCATTACATTTCCAGAAGGGCAGACAGAGAGGCTTCCTCTGGCCCCGCTGGTATCATCATGTTCTGACTGGACTCTACATCCTCCCCTTCACAGACTTTCTATTGCACAGGGCTGGGGCCATCAGGAGAAGAACAAAGACAAGTGGTGCCCGGGAGTCTGTCCAACAGGACTGTGTTCTTCAACCTGACCCAGACTCGTGTATGTGTCAGGCAATCCACTTACTGTTGCAACCAATTATTTTTTTAAAAAGAAGAAAAATAATCTTTCAAAACTCAGTGGACCATATATGTGTGGTTCTATTTCTAGATTCTCTGTTTTATTCAAACGATCTATATGTCTTTCCTTACACCAACACTGTCTTGATTACTGTAGCTTTACAAGAAGTCTTAAAAAGTAGGTACTAAATGTCTTCTAACACTGTTTTTGTTGTTTTCGTTTTTTTTTAACTTTTCTAGGTCCTTTCTACTCCTACATAACTTTTAAATTTCAATATCCAATTCTTCATTTATAGCAAGTATACACAGACCTGAATTTTTATAT